TTTTGGATCTTACAAAGCTTCAAACGACGTGTCGACTATTATATTAGTCGTCGACGATTTTGGTAGTCGATGTAATCGACACACAGTTGTAGTCAATCATGTATACCAATGAGAAGTTAACAAACATTGGCCATGTCAAGATAAGAACCTTCATTTATAGAACCTTCAACACCACTCACTTAAAAGATGGAAGTGAGTATATGTATAAATTTGACCCTGAATGGATTAGAAAAAAAATCCAAAACACATTAAGCTTGTGCACCCAATTCTTGGTTTTTAAAGTCATTAAAGATGTGTGCTGTACAGTCATTACATGCTGGAAAAAGAACAGTTCAAAGAAATACTTAAAAATCCCCAAAATATCATGAAATTTATGCCCATGATGAGTCTATGAAAACTTGTGACCACAATTGTATATGCGGAGTTTACAGGTTGTAGGGCTAACTTAAGTCAGCTAACTTGGGCTACATCCACGTTGGAAGCCATTTGCTCTGTGTTTGTAGTTTTGAAGCCTACGCCTGGTTGCTTGTGGACCTCCCCCTAGAGTTTGACTGATTAGGCATCCATCAAATGTAACAACCAGGTCACTCTTCAAACAGGAGTATGCTATAACTCTGGTACCTGTATATAAATGTAATAATATTTCCCTGCTTCTAATCTTTTAATTATACAAATATCATTAAGACTAATGTGAGTTAAACGTTAGCTTTCACGTTTTAGTGCCTTTTTAAAGGCTCCAGGCCTCATGTCTAATTATTAGTTGTATGAAAGAAGGGGGGGTCCCACCAAACTCCATTTAAAATTCAGCCATATTCTGAACTCACTCATACTTTCGAGTTCAGACACACCCCAAAAAATAAGGTTGGTGATGGCTACACTCCTCACGCAAAAAACGGCTTTAATGTAGCCACAGATAATTTCAATACACCCCCCACTTCTCATTATTCTCAGCAGTCCTGGCCGATGCTACGTGGACACTGCTGCAACCCAAAAGTTGGTCTGCGGCTGGCTTAATAACAAGCTCCCGAGGTGCACATCAAAGGCTCGTGGACACAATGTTCTCAACATGTTCGTTTGCTGCTCCGCAAATTCTCGGCATGCATCAGCACTGAATAGCAAAGCAGCAAGCTAGCCGCTAACACTAGCCTGAATGTGCGAATCTCGACCGGCCCACAACAACTAAACAACACAGTGTGTAGCTGGATCAGCTAATCCGTTTAGCGTCCAATTGAGTGCCGCTATAACTACAGCCTGGTTGTGAATGCCTTACCTTTAATCGTTTAAGTCTATATTCCTCCGAGTCCGCCATGTTCTAATTATGCTGCAGACGCCGCGCTTCGCACCCAGCCGCCTACCTCCTCTCGGGGTTATGGGTCATGTATGTATGCAGAGGATGCTGCAGTTCACCGAGGAAACGAGCGGACCGACAACAGACGCAGAGGAGTTCACTTCGTAGGGAAAAAACTTGTATATTAGGCTACTTTTAAAGTGAATCCAAAGACTACTACAGAAGAAACAAAAGTACTTTCATAGAAGAGATGTGGGTTAAGATTACCTTAATGACTAGATAAGCGTTCCCTTCTTTTTACTCATGAAACTGTAAGCATCATAAATGTCAAGTAGCGCTGCGCAGCCTTTTCTTATAAGCACGTCTTGAACTTTAGTTTTTAATACTCAAACTCACACATCAAACACTTGCTTTTTAAAAAAGCAGTCTCCATGGCCAATTTTTGTATTGCTGCTATTTTGTGGTGATTACGGTAAACCCAATTTGTAAGTGACTATGAAATGCTGCATTTCTTACTGAAGATAAATGACAAGCGTTTGTTTCATCATTCCTACGCATCCTCCATATTCCTTTCCCCCAGTTTGGTAACACAGTGGATATTTATGTGCATGTGTCAGTATACTGTCAGGTGGGTGACAAATTAAAGAACCTGATCCTTACAGTGCAAATCAGCGCAGAGCTGTTTTGATTGATCACCTATTATTAATGGAGAATCACTCCCAGGATTACATAAACATGATGTGAATGATGTGCCACGGCCTTCAGTCTCCAGCTGTCAACCCAGTTTTACATTAATAAGAGATTTTGTTAGAAAGCCCTTTCGACCACCATCATCAAAACACCAAAATAAGGAGATATCTGTGGAGGAATGGCGTGAAATCACTCAGATAATTCTCCACAGACTTGGACAGTCAGTCCCCAAAGGAGCACCGAGGCTTATCTGGAGGTGCACACCTTACTATAACAGTTCTCTCCTTAAAGTTGCCCTCTGCAGTTAATCCTTTCAGAGGTTGCGTCTCCTGTCCGACAGGGTCGTGCTATTTAAATGTACGACCCTACCGTAAGTATTAGTGTGTTTGCGCAAAATATATATATGTAAATATATATATTTACTGCAGTAAAAATAATAACGGTCCTTCCATCTGGTAAAGAACAGCTGAGATTGTGTAGGAGTGTGATATTTTAAAGTGTGGATGTGGAGTTGTACAGTCTAATAGCCACAAGTAGAAAAGATCTCATGGGCTAGAGTGAATTGTTCGTGATGCTGAGGAGATTCTTCAGCATCCTCCGCTCAGACACCTCTACCATCTC